ATTTAGATTTTCTCATCTCATCACAGATACAGGAATTAAATTGTGGAAAATATTGCCTTCGATCTGTTACAAGTATTATTATATTATATATTTTTTCCTTTTTTTTTCTAGAATATAAGAACGCGCCGGTATGTATACCCATGCACCAGAGTCGAGTGAAAGTGAAGTGCTGCATCGACTGCTCCTGGTAAGAACGGCAATGTACATGTACAAATAAGCTTCTTGGCTGAAAATTATATTAACTTCTTTCTCTTCCGATGTGGATATAATCATTTTTGATTACACGTAACAGTTGTAGTGCCTCCGTGGAATACAGTTAACAAAAGTAACTGTGGATTTTTTATTTCACTGGTATAGGTGATACAGGATACATTGCAGATAAAATATCGAGTGGAACAAGCATCACGAGGGTATATCTGTGCAAACAATATATAATATTTAAAACGCCATCGAGTCAGAGAAAGTCAACGAGACTTGCCCGTTAGGTATGCGTAAAAATACTTGGCACATATACGGTGTTGTGGGCCGTACGAAAATAATCCACGAAGGTGCACTCGAGATGGGTTAAAAATGGCTACTTATGTACGCGTATTGGCTATAATAAGCATATAGTAAGCAGCCAAGACTTTCACGAGCAAAGGGACACGCGAACGGAAGTAATGGGACGGGGACCTTAATTGTTGGGGGGGGGGACGTGACATTGCGCTTCGATGTAGGTATAATATAAACTTGAGCGCGATGGTATACTTATGTACTTATGTAGCGGATAAATGGAGCTAAGTATTGTCGATTCTGTGTTAGCCTATTTACGTAACTAATTTAAAAACAGGGCAATCCCGCGCTTGTTTCAACATAGTCATATATGTATATATACATACACGTACCTCTGTGGTGAGCGAAAATTTTCGTATTTGCATACATTATGTATGTCGGGGTCAGAATGGGCTTCCATTGACTTTGTTATTACAGTTACGGTTTTGTACATTATACCGTTGATATTCGCAGGCGGAAGAAATTTCATATCTTTTGGACGATTACAGGAGTTGTCTTGCGTAAAAATACTCTAAACTGTTATTTCCCGTATGTTATCCCGGAAAGGGAAATTATTTCTTTCAAATGCAATTTAGGTTGAATAACCACAGTGAACTGATAAACAAATAACTCATAATGACGAGGACATTGGACCAAATACAGTGCAAAGGCGTGCTATTTCTTTGAGGGGAATTAAAAGCCAATGGTATGTTTATTTAACGATATATATGTATATGTATCTTTAAGTATACTGCATCCAAGGGGGAACAAGATAAAACTTTTATTGCGGCCACTGTACCAGCAAAATCGTTAAAATCTAATTTTCTCATTACCACTCCGAAAGTAAGGCCGTTGCGCATGTGTGTACGAGAAAAACAAATATTTACCCATATTACTTCAAAATCTCGTTACTCGGCGTGCCACTGAAATGCCTTACGAAATGGCAATTCGCGAAAAACGCTATACCCATTTTTAGACCTGCACAATTATGTCGTGTGCGTGTGTGTGGGCTAAGGAAAATATGGGAATCTGCAATCGTTTCGTTCGAATGAAATTACCCACATTCCTCTCACTTGTGTGGGATACAGCCATATGGTAACAACAAGTTAGATTCGTATACTATGTATGAAAAAAAAAAAAAAAAAAAAAACATATTTGCATTTGGTAACCATAGACGTACTTTACCCCATTGAGTTGGACATACTTATTTGACTTTCAAATAATGCTCTTCTGATGGGTTCAATAAGTATTTGCGGATTCCCTGACATTGCTTTAGCCGGTGGCTGTACGCATTACAGGTACTGCAGACAAGCGAACACAGGATTGGTATTACCGTAAAGTATTTCCAAAATGTTTGTTCGCATTGCAAGGGGAAACTTTTTTTTTTTTTTTAATTTTGATCGCGTGAATAACGTATCACAGTTCCACTAGTACTTAAAAATGTGACAGACCGAACGAGACGCTAAGACTCGAGAAAAAAATTTGATACTCACACCGCGTGTTCCGTAAGAAGAAAATTATTACTTTCCTAACAAATTGTATTAATTTTTTCGTAAAAAAATGACAATCAAAAGCAATTAATCAGATCACCAATCACGTGAAGACGAGTCGGGCATTTTTCAAAATCGAGCATATTCTCATCCACGCACCAACACTTATTTAGTATACACCCATGTACTCGAGTGACGTATGTAAACCCCACATCCATCGGATTCCATCCCCGTGCGAGCGCATAAACTTTCTAAAGCGAAATTCGTGCGTATACACACGTACGGTATCATACAAATACGCTCGTACTTGCGCTGTTTTTACGATCACGTCGCGAATTCGTGAGTCAAACGAACTTTACATGATGATTGAAGCGCGTTATTACATACTCCCGTTGCGATGCTGCATCAACTTACGTTTTTTTTTTTTTTTTGTTTTTTTTTGAGGGGGTGGGGGGGGCACAAACAAGACGTACAATGGAAATTTAGAGATATGCTGTTATGATTATGTACTATACCTTTAAGTATGTGCAAGCTGCATACCGCCGGAGGAAAGTTTTCGCGTGTCTCGGTGTATGTACATGGACATGAACAGCTGGCACGCGCTGTACACCCGGTATACACATACAGGTGCCCATCACTTGCGAAATGATTTTTCACTCGGTTCACTGCTGTTCTGGTCTCGTGTATGCACGTACACGATTGGGATTCGACGAAATTGAATTTATGTGTGTGTATACGCGCGTTTGGTAGAGAAAAATTGCGCGGGGCGAATGTAATTTCGGGGAGCTCGAGGAGGGCCGAAAGATCGATAGCGAAATAATATTACGCGAGCACTTTTTTTTGCGACACTGTGTTTTATATAACGTATGTATACATTGAGTGTTAAAGTCGATCACGCTCGAGGAGGTATCGAGAAGTGGAATTTGACGACGAGGTGGTGTTTTTTTTTTTTTTTTTTTTTTTTTTTTTCACGCCTACGGTACGTGTACTCGACGTAACTCGATGTACACGTATGTACAAACATTGCGCAAGAGGCGAGAGGTTCGGTATAATATATACCTACGTTTTACAGCACTGAGTGGAATAATGAATACTTATGCATCGGTGGTTATACGTAATGCGAGTGTTTGCCAAACAAATGGTGCTGCGCTATTGATTTTTTTATTGACGCTCGTTGACATTGTAAGGCACAAGCGTACAATCTACCCCACACTTGTACTCAAACCAAGTCATCCGGTTCATTTAATTTTTGTTTGGAAAAATAAAGTACAGCTCGCGTGAACGTGTCCACGCAATGACATACGAACCTCCTGAGTAATCTATAAGTATCTCTATTCTTTTATTTACCCACATATGTGTACGCGCGTAATCCAAGTCCTGATTGCTTCATAACATTCGCGTCGATGTAAATTTTCTATTTCAAAGGATAATAGGTGATTCAACGTATCATTAGCACGAGGACAAAAGCCAAATTGAAGTATCATTAAAAGCTGCATAAGCTCTCCTCTTGAAATGGAGTTTTTTTTTTTTTTTTTTTTTTTTTTTTTACAGCTTCATAGGTGTGGTAATTATACACAGCCATAGGTACTTTGATGAAGACGAAACCGTGGGTAGAGGTTTCTTGGGGTCCGTAAAGCCTGCAATTCGTTGGAAACTATTTTTTACAACTCTCGCTCCTCGGCTGATTTTCTAAAATATTCACAAAATTGCTGTATACGTTCTAAAAGGAAAAGAAAACAAGAAAAAGACAAAGAAAAGAGCTATATAGGTATGGGGTGTGAAAACTGTACATCCCAAGGTTTGATATCGATCGGCGCCGTTGACGCAGGGTTCAAGGGTGACCGGAGAACAAACAAAAGTTCAAGAGTCATTTATCACCCGCCACACCCGCGACTCCTATATGTACACGGACTCGTGGCCGAGGCTATGTAGGCTTGATTACCTTTACAAATGTTTATCTGAGGTACTAATTTTTTCTGAAAACACGACGAATAGTCTTTTTTTTCTATTTCCACTTGTTACGCGGTACTTGGACAAACATTTTCTTCCAGCAATCATGACTCCGTCAAAATTTTGGAAAAGAGAAAGGACGTTCGTTTCCGTCTCGATAAAATGTATGAGAAAATTACCCCTGCATCCTCGCACCCTCTAGGCTCTCTGTTGTCACTCCCCTGTCCGAGAAAGAGTCCCTTCATCCCAAGAAGGAGGAAAGCTACAAAAAAAAAAAAAAAAAAAAAAAAAAAAAAAAAAAAAAAAAAAAAAAAAAAAAAAANAAAAAAAAAAAAAAAAAAAAAAAAAAAAAACACATCAAGAGCCATCAAGTAGCGGTCCATTCGTCAAACAAACAGAGTCGACAACCTGTCCCCGCACCTTAATCTGATTCCGGCTTTCTCGATGTCTCGTTTTATCCCTCCCGCAAAGCCACCCCACGCGTTTGCTCCAAATAGAGGGCTGCACGCGAGTAGTGCGCAGAAAAAGGCTCATGGAAAAATAATACGTCACATTTTGCTCTGTAGCTCGCACTTCGGCAAATATATCGGGTTTTACGTTCCGTAATAAGCATAGCCAAGGTTGCAAGCCAAGGTATATGCTTACACAAAATATACATACACACTCGTGTAACTTGGTAAGGGTAACCGAGTGTATACGCGTTATGCGTATGTATGTATATATATATATAATAAAAACGCGCATCCGTTACCCGGATGGAGACACACGCAAAAAGCCGCGCACGCACGCATTTCTTAAGTGTATGCCGTAAAAGTAACGCACGAAAGCCCGCAGCAAAGAAAGGAGGATGTAAGAAAAGTGGACGCAAGGCCGCCGCCGTCGCCTCGCACACTGGACGCTCGCACGCATCCGGCTCACTATTTTACGTACTTGTATAGGTATACTACTTATATGTGGTAAAAAAAAAAAAAAAAAAAAAAAAAAAAATCCCCGTTCCAAAAGTATCGAAAGTGACGTGTATATATATACCTTGGCGCTGACAGACCGATGGTCCCGGGAACAGTAGCAGCAGCAGCAACAGCGGCAGCGGCGCCAAACGGCCACGTGCCTCTCTCCTCATTATTAGATCCTCTTCTCTTATTTCACGATTTGCAGTCACAATTGATCCTCTTTTAGCAGCTATTATACCGTTACCGATAACTGTGAGTGTCCACACAGCGACTCACTTTTTTCACCTGCACTTATTGCGCGATGCAATTGAAACTCACTGCCGAGCACCGAAATCTCGTTAAATCAAACGGCCAACGAACGAAGAAACCAAAAAAAAAAAAACCACCCAGACCGTCATTGCATGGTCCTTTAGCCACGATTTCGGCAACAGCGGGAACAAGTAGGAAGCCGTGTCCGTTCCGCGAACGGTGAGCAGGCCCGTGGCATAATCGTATTCCGCGGTGCTCTTCTTTTTCTTTCGTCTCCTTTTCCCCGCGAACGGGCTCTCAGCAGCAGCGTCTTCGTCGTCGCTTCTGCTGCCGCTGGCGCAGGGCATGGAGACCGGGCTCCGGGCGCGTTGATCGGTAAATATCGGTAAGAGCTATCGCACCCACGGTGCCCCGTAGCAGCTGTTGTTGTTGGCGGTGCCGCTGCCAATGTTGTGCACGGGGGGCCATGCACACATGTACACGGGCTGTGTACCTGCACCGCACTGGCTCGGTTGGAAGAGCGCAGCGAACTGCCGATTCCGCCGTACAGGGCACGGGAACGCGGAGGCGAGCAAAGCTGTTGTTGCACGAGCCGCGCGAGAGGTGGTGGGTAGAAAGCAAAATCCAGAGAGACTTTCACTATACGAGCGAACCAGCATCGGGGAACGGGGCCCGTTTGTGCTCGCGTGTACGTTATATACACGTATAGAGTATGCGGGAGAGCGTGCAAGGCCCCCGCGGCCAGCCGGGGCACTCTCCGTGTCATGTATATAGGTATATGCCAACTCTTCTGGTGTTAAGAAAGAGAGAGAGAAAAAGAAAGACTCGTGGGCATGTCGAGGCCAAAGCAAAGACGACGACGACGACGACGGTATGGGTGAGCTGTACTTTTCATACTTGTGTGCGATGCTGGGCACGGGATCACAGGAGTTTGCGTTTTTGATTGTTCGCGGAGCTAGATTTCTGATGCGGTGACTCTGTGCAACAATACACTCCTACGAACTTGTACGATCGTCAACTTGGATATTTTTTGTTTTCATTTGTTTCAATGATCTGGAGAAGATCGGTATCGGTTGGGGTACGGTTTTAATCTTCTGCTCGGACGATTTATTCACACGAGTATAATATGAAAATTAGATGATGATGACACTCGTACCATTCAGCATACCTAACGAGCACATCACGCGCGTTTTTGGATGACCTGTATTTTTAGGAGCAAGAGGAATTCCAATCGTGAGGAAAAATTTGTATTCGCCGCTCGTCCTTATCTCCCTGCCGAGCTGGCCGTGACGTTATTTATATATTTATGCGCATAGCTCACGGCTCTCTAAATCCATCTTGGATTAGTGAAACAAAAAAATTAAGCCTCATCGAGAGAGCGCGCGTGGACGAAACCGATTTTTCGCCTCCATACGGAGGAAATCGGTTTTCGTTTTCGTTTGCTTCGTCGTCGAGAGAAAACATAAATAGTGTCGACGCCAATCAGGTTTACTTTTATCTTGATGCGGACTTGTATTAGAAATCGCCAAGGAAAGACACAGATCGTTAACGGAGAAATTCAAAAGACCGGGTGTATGGGGGGGAAGGAAATGCCGCGTGTATGTATCAGATACGAACTCGAGAGATTTTCGACAAAAATCGATTTCTCATAAAAGTTCCGATCGCACGGGTAACATATATAAAACAATAATAATCCTTTGACCTTATTTACAATGCAATATACCTTTGTCGTACATTTATACCAAACGCAAAAGCGCTCGATCGTCATTCCTTTGTTCTTTCACAACGAGAGAGAAAAATGGATCTTGTACATATACACTTACAGACACAAAATAGACTATGCGGTAAATACACTGCACTAGAAATTGCGAAAAATAAGCCACTCGATCGCAAAACACACACGGTCATTCTTGCGTGGCATTTGGCTATAGCGATCTCGAGCAGCACGCGAGCCGCGCGATCGGCAGCAACACGCCCTCTCCACTATACATGTATACACGCGCAGGTACATTTTCCCGGGTAGCTCGAAAAAAAAAAAACGACGAATATAACTATATATACTTTCACTCCCGTGAAAGGCACGCGTACATAATAGGCTACCGCCCGAAAGCGCGAGAAAGAAATTGTACGTTCAAGTACCTATATACAAGAGCGGAGAGAAAAACGATGAACGATTTTTCCGGCTTCATTTTGCCTCCCACCGCCCTTTGAGTATAGGTATATAAACACTAACATAATGAGCCCCCGATGTCAGCCGCAGTGCGCGAGAAATCGTCGTTCTCCTGTTCGACAGTAAAATATGTATGCGCGCACCCGAGTGCATGGAGCAATAAATATATATATATATACCCTGCGCGAGTCTTACACGTATTTTTGCGCACATACATATGCTTCTCTCTCTCTCTCTCTCTCTCTCTCTCTCTCTCTCTCTCTCTCTCTCTCTCTCTCTCTCTCTCTCTCTCTCTCTCTCTCTCTCTCTCTCTCTCTCTCTCTCTCTCTCTCTCTCTCTCTCTCTCTCTCTCTCTCTCTCTCTCTCTCTCTCTCTCTCTCTCTCTCTCTCTCTCTCTCTCTCTCTCTCTCTCTCTCTCTCTCTCTCTCTCTCTCTCTCTCTCTCTCTCTCTCTCTCTCTCTCTCTCTCTCTCTCTCTCTCTCTCTCTCTCTCTCTCTCTCTCTCTCTCTCTCTCTCTCTCTCTCTCTCTCTCTCTCTCTCTCTCTCTCTCTCTCTCTCTCTCTCTCTCTCTCTCTCTCTCTCTCTCTCTCTCTCTCTCTCTCTCTCTCTCTCTCTCTCTCTCTCTCTCTCTCTCTCTCTCTCTCTCTCTCTCTCTCTCTCTCTCTCTCTCTCTCTCTCTCTCTCTCTCTCTCTCTCTCTCTCTCTCTCTCTCTCTCTCTCTCTCTCTCTCTCTCTCTCTCTCTCTCTCTCTCTCTCTCTCTCTCTCTCTCTCTCTCTCTCTCTCTCTCTCTCTCTCTCTCTCTCTCTCTCTCTCTCTCTCTCTCTCTCTCTCTCTCTCTCTCTCTCTCTCTCTCTCTCTCTCTCTCTCTCTCTCTCTCTCTCTCTCTCTCTCTCTCTCTCTCTCTCTCTCTCTCTCTCTCTCTCTCTCTCTCTCTCTCTCTCTCTCTCTCTCTCTCTCTCTCTCTCTCTCTCTCTCTCTCTCTCTCTCTCTCTCTCTCTCTCTCTCTCTCTCTCTCTCTCTCTCTCTCTCTCTCTCTCTCTCTCTCTCTCTCTCTCTCTCTCTCTCTCTCTCTCTCTCTCTCTCTCTCTCTCTCTCTCTCTCTCTCTCTCTCTCTCTCTCTCTCTCTCTCTCTCTCTCTCTCTCTCTCTCTCTCTCTCTCTCTCTCTCTCTCTCTCTCTCTCTCTCTCTCTCTCTCTCTCTCTCTCTCTCTCTCTCTCTCTCTCTCTCTCTCTCTCTCTCTCTCTCTCTCTCTCTCTCTCTCTCTCTCTCTCTCTCTCTCTCTCTCTCTCTCTCTCTCTCTCTCTCTCTCTCTCTCTCTCTCTCTCTCTCTCTCTCTCTCTCTCTCTCTCTCTCTCTCTCTCTCTCTCTCTCTCTCTCTCTCTCTCTCTCTCTCTCTCTCTCTCTCTCTCTCTCTCTCTCTCTCTCTCTCTCTCTCTCTCTCTCTCTCTCTCTCTCTCTCTCTCTCTCTCTCTCTCTCTCTCTCTCTCTCTCTCTCTCTCTCTCTCTCTCTCTCTCTCTCTCTCTCTCTCTCTCTCTCTCTCTCTCTCTCTCTCTCTCTCTCTCTCTCTCTCTCTCTCTCTCTCTCTCTCTCTCTCTCTCTCTCTCTCTCTCTCTCTCTCTCTCTCTCTCTCTCTCTCTCTCTCTCTCTCTCTCTCTCTCTCTCTCTCTCTCTCTCTCTCTCTCTCTCTCTCTCTCTCTCTCTCTCTCTCTCTCTCTCTCTCTCTCTCTCTCTCTCTCTCTCTCTCTCTCTCTCTCTCTCTCTCTCTCTCTCTCTCTCTCTCTCTCTCTCTCTCTCTCTCTCTCTCTCTCTCTCTCTCTCTCTCTCTCTCTCTCTCTCTCTCTCTCTCTCTCTCTCTCTCTCTCTCTCTCTCTCTCTCTCTCTCTCTCTCTCTCTCTCTCTCTCTCTCTCTCTCTCTCTCTCTCTCTCTCTCTCTCTCTCTCTCTCTCTCTCTCTCTCTCTCTCTCTCTCTCTCTCTCTCTCTCTCTCTCTCTCTCTCTCTCTCTCTCTCTCTCTCTCTCTCTCTCTCTCTCTCTCTCTCTCTCTCTCTCTCTCTCTCTCTCTCTCTCTCTCTCTCTCTCTCTCTCTCTCTCTCTCTCTCTCTCTCTCTCTCTCTCTCTCTCTCTCTCTCTCTCTCTCTCTCTCTCTCTCTCTCTCTCTCTCTCTCTCTCTCTCTCTCTCTCTCTCTCTCTCTCTCTCTCTCTCTCTCTCTCTCTCTCTCTCTCTCTCTCTCTCTCTCTCTCTCTCTCTCTCTCTCTCTCTCTCTCTCTCTCTCTCTCTCTCTCTCTCTCTCTCTCTCTCTCTCTCTCTCTCTCTCTCTCTCTCTCTCTCTCTCTCTCTCTCTCTCTCTCTCTCTCTCTCTCTCTCTCTCTCTCTCTCTCTCTCTCTCTCTCTCTCTCTCTCTCTCTCTCTCTCTCTCTCTCTCTCTCTCTCTCTCTCTCTCTCTCTCTCTCTCTCTCTCTCTCTCTCTCTCTCTCTCTCTCTCTCTCTCTCTCTCTCTCTCTCTCTCTCTCTCTCTCTCTCTCTCTCTCTCTCTCTCTCTCTCTCTCTCTCTCTCTCTCTCTCTCTCTCTCTCTCTCTCTCTCTCTCTCTCTCTCTNTTTTTTTTTTTTTTTGTTTTGTTTTCTTCTTGACGGGCGATTTGCGGTGGGATATTGATGAATGCGTATAGACTGCGAGGGAGAAAGGACACGTGAAGAATGAGCTCGATGAGGGATTATGCGTGTATATAAATATAGGGATGAACGTGCGAACAATGATGCCATACTGGGGCTTCGCCCCCCATGCGCGTGTCGACCCTACAACCCCCTATTCGTAATCATGTAATATTTATTGTGTTACGTATTAATGAAATTGAAAAGTGTTGTCTCACTTTTATCTTTATTATATTTCAACTTAAAACTTCTGTTATTTAAATGTAGCTACGTCATACAATATTATGTACGAGACGAAAAATTTTACAGGGATACAAATTAATCATTTATACAAGATTTACATCGCTTGTGAGTAAAAATCAAGTACTT